TTCATTTTTGGGTGAAATATCCCTGGTAGCGTTGAATGTAAAAAGTCTTATGAATATGTGAGTGCCATTTTTAAACAGAAACTGAACCATTTACCAGTTGTTTTTCAATGTCTTGACAGAACCTTTTTATTTTCTCCGTTTAATGCACAGCTGTGACAATTACAGTGATAACATCATGTTTAATTTTTGGCTTTTTACTGTGTCCTAATGATCTTATGTGCAATGTTGATTTACTGTTTCAAACGGTACAGTAGGTGTTACAGATAACTCCACACCTGTATATTCAACTGTTGTGTGTTTGGTCACCTCATTGACCGAGTGAGTCTGTTTTGTGTTGTGCAGTGTTGAATACGACCTTTCTGAATCTTCTTGGTTAGTGTTCGTACAATATCATATATTTGATCTCTGATGTAATTTAATAATTTGGAAATGTCTTTACACCATAAAGGAGTGGCCTATGTTTACTTTCAGACCTGGACAGTATCACAGTGTGCAGCATTACAAGAAATATGCAACTTTGTTTTCAAATCAGATATCTGTTGATTGTTTTGATTGGGAAGCACATATCCACCATCTAGTGGTGGCCTTTTTAACATGATGGCTCTGTATGGGCCATTGGCTCCTTCCCCTCAGGAATCCAGACTGATCAAAATTCCCATTGCTAAGACAAATGATCAACCGTGAGATTGTAATTGAATTGGAGAGAATTATTGGTAATCATACTTCACTATTAGTCTTCACTGAGCGTTGAAGAATGAAGTGCCTTTTATATTACATTTATCAGTATGGTTCTGTTGCCATAACATTTTCCACACATCCCACCTCTTTAATATTTTTAATACGAGTCATCACACACCTTGACACACGTTATGAATGTGACTGTAGATCCGGTTGGAAAACCGTGTGACGTATTGATTGATTTCTCACTGTATGTGAATACACTCTCCTGTGATACTGTCATAGAAGCTTTTTGAGGAGGTAGAACACTGTGAGGGGAGTCCTGTGACATTCTGCATGAGAATACTGTTGTTGTTTTTTCATTGTTTGAGTGTGTCAATGAAAATTCTTCCAAAAGATTTATTTTTCAAAATGGTATATTTTAGCAGTATGTCATAGAATGACGTGAGGCTGGTTTGCACTGCCAGATAAAACGCCAACAGGAGTAACCAAAAACCAATGGATTTTGGTGTTTATTGGGCAGTGTGACACAGACTTTAGTTTGGACTTAACTGTTTACAGGGTCATATCTGTTGTGATGTGTAGATGCTGTGATGTCATTTTTTTTCATATTTGCATTTATAAAGATGTTTTTAAATTTCACTTGTCTGAGGTTCTCACTGTTTATTCTTGCCAAATTATTTAACAAGTCTCTTTACTTGGGAAAGGTTTTTAGGACAGATAAAGAGATGATCTGATTAAAAGTGCATATTGTTCAGACATGCAGGTAATCTCACTCCTGTGCCATTAGTTTAGTAAAAAGTACTTGAGTGAGACTGTTTAAACAAAAATCTCTCTATGAATTTAGTGGTAGCTGTGTAGCTGTCAATGGAGGGACAGAAAGCTCTCCGATTTTTTTTTTGATTATCCGTTACACTCAGATATATGCCATAAAATATCTGTTGCTACTTATGTTTCATTGCAACTTTAAGCTAGGACAGTGTTAACAAAAGAAAGACACACAAGACTTTTAACATTACATTTAGTTATAGACAACATGAAGCTCTAGGGTAAAGTAAACTAGGATGAAGACAGAAAAAAACTCATGTGATTTGCCGAATGGCCCGAATCCAAACTCACGTCCTCCTTTCACCGGCTTCGTTTGACTTGCCTTCACTTTCCATGGCCTTGGCAAACGCTTCTACGTATACAATAAATAAATAAATAAAATACCGGATTGGAAGCTTGTTTTTTTATTACACAATTTATGTAAATTTAAAGGAGATTTAAAGGATTTTTTTATGAAAAACACTCGAGGATTTTTCTCCATAATGGACTTCAATGGGAACTAAACTGTTCAAGGTCCAAAATACAGTTTCAGTACAAACTGCAAACAGTTCAAATGGCTTTTAAACGATTTCAAACGATGAATAAGGATCTTATCAAGCAAAACGATCGGTCATTAAAAAACCGTTTAGGTTTTATAAGCTCAAATGTTCGCCTTGCTCTGTTCTGTGATGCGCGTTCGTGACTCTCCTATTCGAACTCGTTTATCAAAATGAACAAAATCTTTTCTAGAGTCAACTCGTTCATTTCGTTCGTTGAATAAACCAAATGACACGAAAAAAAGATTCGTTCATTTTGATAAACGAGTTCGAACAGGAGAGTCACCGTCTATGAGAGTCACGAACGCGCATCACAGTACATAGCAAGTCGAACATTTGAGCTTATAAAACTTAAACTTTGTTGTTGTTTTTTTAAATGAGTCATCGTTTGGCTTGATAAGACCCTTATTCATCGTCTGAAATCGTTTAAAGCCTTTTGAACAGTTTGCAGTTGCACTGAAAGCGTCTTTTGGACCTTGAACCGTTTGGTTCTTTTCGACTGAAGAAAGACATGGACATCTTGGATGACATGGGGTGAGTTTATTATTTATCAGCAAAAGTTTTTTTTTTTTTTTAAGTGAACTACTCTTTTAACTACTCTTCAAAAACAATTAAGGCCATTTTGTATAAACTACCGATGTAATAGAAGGATGTCTGACTGTGAGAGAGGAATGTATGAATGTATAAACAAGTTTGTTAAGAAAAGGTTTTAGCTGGAATGAACCAGATCAGTTTGTGTACATTTTAAAGGGCCACCTCTACAGCTTCTGTTAGTAATCCAAACTGACTCAAAGATCTCAACTTCCACATCTTAGATTTATCACTGAAATAAATGTACAAAAGCAGATATGCTAACAAACTTGTTTTTGAAATGAAGCATACACAATTAGTGATATACCGAAACTTCAGAAATAGAAAATATCCGGTGCATTACTATGTATGATGTATTAAAACAACATTTTGTGGGGTGAACTTGAACTTCATGAACTTCCATGTCTTGAGGGGGAGATTTTCCAGATGGGAGGCAAGCTTCTCCACTTCAGCATTACCTGAATCGGTGCCATGACCTCGATGTGAAAACACTTGCCAGATCCATTGAAAAAAGAAAGTTGACAATGGCAGTACTTAATACAATCTTATAGTGACAGCAATTTTATAGTACTACTATAATGATCTCACCTCCTTGTCTTTCATTCATTGTTGCTAAGACATTCTACAGGTCACGCGGTTTAATGGGCTGATAGTTCCAGCAGAGACAGCAGGGCCTAAATATAAATTGTTCAGTCATGACACTCTAGATGCCACAGACTAATAGGTCCTTTTTAGGCAACCTGCAAGCAATCATTTCATTACTATGTGGCAAGCTGATTGGCCCCTGCTGATTCTGCCACCAATGAGATTGCTTGCTCAACATTAAAATAGACCTGCAACAGTGCTCTGAAAACTAAACCTCTTAAAGGGATAGTTGACTTTGAAATGAATTTTTGGTATGTTTTAGCTTACCTCAAGGGCATCCAAGATGTAGGTGTCTTTGTTTCCGCAGTAGTTTCAATTTTGATATTTTTAGGTCAAATCATTCGTGTCTATCAGTCATATAATGGAGGTCTATGGCCACCACCTCAAAGAGCATGCACAGAGTCCAAATTAAACATGATTTAATGACTCATAAATGTAAGTACACATTGATGGCCTAAGACACGAAACAAGCGGTTTGTGTGAGAAAATGAACAGTATATATATCGTTTTTACCTACAGCCACACAGCGCCCACGCCCTCAGATCTCTTACAAGAGGTAAAAACGATATAAATACTGTTGATTTTCTCACACAAACCACTCGTTTTATGTCTTAGGCCATCAATGTGTACTTACATTTACGAGTCATTAAATCATGTTTAATTTGGACTTCTCTGTGTATGCTCTTCAAAGTGGTGACCATAGACCTGCATTATATGACTGATAGATGAATGGTTTGACCTAAAAATATCAAAATTGAAACTGCGGAAACAAAGACACCTAAATCTTGGATGCCTTTGAGGTAAGCTAAAACACCAAAAATTAATTTCAAAGTGAACTATCCCTTTAAGATGAACAATATTTCATTATTCCAAATCACTAAACAATATTGCATTGTCTGAATTCAAATCATGTTTGATGGTTTGCAAGTTGTGTATAATGCAAGGAGTGAAATAACATGCACCCATCTATCACACTGAGGTATTATCATTATTGTGAAGTGCAAATATAATTAGTTACCAATTCAGTTTTTGGTGTCAACCAACCCAATCTAGCAGAAGGGGAGGGGCTTGTCTTTGATTGGTGGAGGTTTCTTCGTCCTTTGTTCTGATTGGTAGTTGCGTGTCAAAATATGCCCTCACAATATTGTATTAATATTATTAATACTAAATTGTGCAGTTATGTGTTTTTAAATGACAGACAGGAGTGGTAAATGTAACCTTTTAGAGGTGTGAGATTACAAGCAGGCCTGTATTGAGGGCGTCGATTCAACATGCGCCACATTTTTAGATCAAATTACTGGGCTGGGCAAATACATTACTTGTAGCACTGTACAAGGCATTTTTTTGGCTTGTTCTGTCTTGAACAATTTGTGCTGAGGATTGTCCTCTTAGCTTTCAAATAAGTCTGGTTCTTTTTATTGTATATATGACTAGTGTACTGCATGGGAAGAAATCCATCAGTTGTTACTGGATCGATTGTCATCTTCTGAACTATTATATGGCTTTGTATTGATTATATACAGCTAGACAGCTTGTCCAAGTAACAGTCTAATTGAATGTCCTTCATTAATACACTATTTGTCTGACCTTGGAGCAATTCAGTAACCCTTAAAAGGTCTGTCTCTTAAGCATTTGTAAATCTTTTCAAATAAATGATTAACTCATCTTATAATCACACTCCTAAATCAGAACCAACTTAGTCAATAAAGACAGAAAGCATGCTTTTTCTGTTATGTGTTTAATCAAATCCTGTTTATCAATGACATTGACCTTGATAGAGATCAGTTCACAGTTTAGGTTAATGCAGCCAACAGATAATAATTCACAAACGTACTCCCAAATGGTTTGTCAACAATTTCAAACTGATGCTTGTCTCTTGAGACACAAAAAAGGAAAAAAAAAGAAATTTATTTCATTAGCATTAATGAGGTCTTACATATATCATTAATATTGCTAGTTTACAAGTGAGCAGAATTATTAGACTGTTTAAGTGCATTTCACATGAATTATACAAATGTAGTAAAACGTCACAATACATCATGTACAATTATGTAAAGCCGTCATAGCACCTCCATGGTATAATTTGGGTTTCTATCTGTGAAATAGTTTCACAACAGAAACGATCATTCCCTAGTGTCTCGACCAATATAAACAGCTCAAGATGAACAGACAGAATCACTTAAAATGAATATTTCTGAGTGCATGTTTGCTTTACATAGTTGCATTCAGTGTGACAAGATTTGATGTGATTGCTACAGGAATAACTGATAAATATGGGGGGGGAAATCATGAGACAATTAGGGATGAGTTGTTTTTAAGGTCTCAAGATTCAAGGGACATTTAGAGCCATTAACTTAGCAGCTGGTGGGATAAAATACTGATATTTCTAACAGCTAGTAAGCATTGATAGTGAGATTAAATCATTTATGTTTAGACATGCCACAATATATTTTATAAAATACACAGGGAATTCAATTTCCTTTAAAGTAGGCCATAGCCCGAAGCTTGGCGTTTTGAATTGTACGCACTACAAGGAACATGTTAAAGATAAATATTCTTGTGCTACACAATAGATGATGAACTCCCATTAAGTGTAGAAGCTAAACATGTCAAATATTTAGATAAGAGTGTTATTAATCACTACAGTTACATACACCTGTCGCCATCAAACAACACATCTGCCCGACTTTAGGCAGTGCAAAACAGCCAACATGAGCGAGTAAAACCATCAGCAAAAGTACTAGCATGCTTGACACTTTTGAACTAAGCCAACTGAAGATTTTATCTAAACAGTGAAGCTTTTTGACACATAAAATTGTACAATTCATAGACAGACAGACAGACAGACATTCCCATCAACAATTGCATAGCGAGTTCAAATCACAGTATTGTTTAAAGTTTAGAAATAAAAGACAGTGGTGTCTTTCTCGATCTCTAAGTTTATTATGATTTGTATGTGTGGAAAAAATTAGTCCTTGCAGAATGAAACTTGCTGTATGGCAAAAAGCACGTGAGCAGTGCTGCACATTCTGTTCATTTTTGGTACATGTGAGTATATATGTGGGCTAAGGTGAAGCACCATGACATTCGTGAGCCATGAAGTGACATAAAATAAAAAGTTGAGTTTAGCACCCATCTCCATTTTATTCACCAGGATGGATCACTCTACATTGCAGTCCTGATGGGTTATATGGCTTTAGTTTCTACGAGAGAAAAGTGACTTTGGCAACCATAAACATACTCAAAATATCAATGACAGGATGAAATATGTTATTTATAAGAGCTTTTTTAACGATTAAAAAACTTTTTTTTAGTATTTTTTTTTAACAAGTAAACATTTTTCATAAGCAGCTTTCATTCTTGTCTGTTGAACAAAAAAAAAAAAAACAGATCTAAAATATGAGGAATGAGAATATTTGTTTTAGTAAACTTCCCTGTACCATGGAGATGGTGAGAAAACGGCCTGAGTGCCACATCCAACCGTGATTTCTAAAACATAGATGGGATGATTCTGAAAAATAAAGTCCTTTTCCTTCTCGGGTACTCAAAATCAGGCAGAATCTTTAACTATGAAGTTCCTGCACATCATGCATACCAAAACAGAGGTCATAAGGAGATAAGGAAAAAAAAGCTTATACTAGAGATAAAATAGCATTAGTTTGAGCAAAAACACAAAATTAAGCTATCCTAATAGGTTCTGAGAAACCTCACAATTTAATAATCACACAAATATTGGCTATCTTCACAGATGACATTGGATCGATGCCATCACTAACCGCTTGTACCCATAAAATGAATACCTGAGTGTAGCTAGCGAGACGCATGGAAAGGTAGGTTAGCATACATAAACTAGCAATTTTGAAACATATTCATTCAGGTTTGCACAGAATGTTTAACTCAAAATCTAACATACATCAAAAAAGTGAATAATTTAAGGCATTCCCTACCTCTCAAAATAAATAAATAAATTCACGCTGAATTTCCAGATTCTAGTGAAGAGATTTTATGAAGAGGCTTTGTCCGAAAACTGTTCACTTTCTCGCTGACGAAGGAAAAAGAGAACATTAAAAAGAGCTTAAGGAGAGGAGATGATATGGACTGAGTGAAGGAGAGCAAAGGATGAATCTCATTCTCAAGCCTCTCTCAGTTTTCCCAACCCAATCAGTAGATGTTTGGAAGGTCAGAGTACTTCCTGTCAAAGTAACCACCCTTGAAGATCCAGTCTGCTGCCCCAGTGTATGGGTTATTGCCTTGCTGGAACCATCTGAAAGATGGAAGGCCAAAAAGGTTATGAAAATAAAACTTTTTCACTATTATTTAATCCTTTCAAGACTCATCAAAAATATTTAAATGATTATATGTGCTTTTGTTGACGCCTTAAGTCAATGTGATTTCAAAACTATTGTAAAAGTCAGTTTATCATTTAAATCTAGCAATAATTTACTTTATAGTTCATTTAGAATTTTGTTTTTGAAGGTTGTAATTCGAGCCCGACCGATAAAGGATTTTGAAGGCCGATACCGATACAAATATTTTTTGGTTTTAAAATCTGATATATCGGCCGATATTTTTTATTTTATTTTATTTTTTTATTTCAGAAACATGCAACAAAACATTAACAGATTTCCCTAACATTAGTTATTTGTAGTTATTTATGAGTTTTAACTAAAATAATATGATAATGCATTTTAAAAAGTAACTTGTTTCACAACAGAACAGACTGATGATAGTGGCATTAGCTAGCTTTGTGGTTAGCTAGTCCATGATGAGCCATAATTTAGCAATGGATTTCGTCAAATTGTAAAACATACATTTTCAATATAACAGGCCAAGGAGAGATGATGCGTCTCATTGCTATAACTGTTATGCGCTATTAAAGAAATAATTCAGTCACATTGTCAAAAGTTAAAAGGACAGTCAGTCAACTACACTGTAACAACGTAAAGTAACGATTACGAGCTAATTCCGCTTCACTCTCTGCTTATTTAACAGCAGCAAAACTGGACATGATAGTCACAAATTTTGTCATGCTTATTAGAGTTAAGAGAACTGATGCGGATGTTCTTTTAATTTAAGCAATGAATCATGTATCATGATCAACTCAACGAGTGTTGCCAACAGGAACAGTGTAGAGTGCCCTCTGGTGGACAAGCTATACAACTCCAACACTCATGACATGGTTCAAGCGTGTTTCTTTCGACCGTTTTTTATTTTATTTTTGAAATATTCATTTATCGGCCATTATAATTGCCGATACCGATAGTTTGGAAAACGTCTAATATCGGCCTGCCGATATATCGGTCTGGCTCTAGTTGTAATGTTGCAGTCTTGCTTGATTCAACACTTCAATGCAGACAAAATGAGTAAATGTGCAAAACATTACAAGAAAACAAACCACTGAAATTGTGGGCGGTCATTGTTGTGCTCTTAATCCAAATACTCACCTTGTAGACCATTCTTCCTCATCTTTAGCACGCTCTCTTCTGGCAGCTCTCTGCTTCTCTTCCAATCTTTCTTTCTCTTGACTTGCAGTATCTGGAATTTAGGAGTAGCTTCTAAATTTAGTTGTAAAATAAATAGAGCAACATCCAAGAGGTAGCTTACAGGACAGATGGTAACAGAACAGGCCAAAAGAGAGATTGCCCATACCTATATCCCCATTCTCCATAGCTCTGATGTCTGGCCGCAGGCGACAGTCTGTTGGTGGCAAGACTCCAATCATGCCAGGCTCCAGCTCGTTAAGTGTCATTGCGAAGTTAGTGAAATTATACATCTGAATAGAATTCAGGAAAGAGGAAAAAACAGAGAATTAGTACTGCATTGCAAAACTAGCTAGATAAAGTATCTGCATTTGCAAGAGTGAAAACAAGAAGGATTTACAACTGGTATTAGCATCCGTCTTAGGAAAGTGTCCAGTGGCATTTCATTCCCATGTTAAAATGAGGGGGCCACTATATAGGGAACTCCTTGAAACGCCTACATTGTAGTCTTGAGTTTTCTTCTCATTTCAATAATCCCTCCAAAAAAGGGGGCAAGGCCTGGGTGTGTTGCGTCAGTATTAGTAGTGTGTTGAAACTCATGGTTATAGTAAGGCCTGTGACATTTTGAAAACACGCTCAAAGTGGTTGACCAATCACAACACACTTGTCAAGCTGACCAATCAAAGCATACTGGGCTTTTCGAAAGGAGGGGCTTCATAGAGACAAGAACTAAACAGAGTGTTACTAACTAGGAAAGAGCTGCTACAACAATATATAATAAGCCAAAAAAATATATATATATTTTTAGAACATTCAAATCATGAAAACCCATTCTTATTGACCTCAAAAACAAAATCAAGACTTTGTAAAATAAGGCCTCTTTATTACCTGTGCCGAGTTTGCCGGTCGAGGGGCTATTCTCCACAGAAGAGTACTGCCTGGGATCATAGTGACTGTCTCCTGAATATCTGGCATTTCATCTGAATCATCACCCCCTGTGCCCTGTTCCTAATCACACGCATAGAGTACTACCATTAATGCCCTCAAATGCACCATTTTCATTAAAAACTACAGATAGAGCAAGATCAGGAAACTACGTGGACTAGGATAAGTAACTAAACAACAAACTCCACTAAGGGGGCTCAGTTACTGTAGCATCACTGCTAAAACCCACTGTCTTTACCTTCGCCTCTCACTGAAATTGCATGATAATAATACAAAGGGGAAAACGAGGTTATATAACACTGTTTACTTATATAAAATTAAAAAAAACACTGTTTTTAAGATTAATAATAAGAATTGTTTCTTTAGCACCAAATCATATTAGAATCATTGCTGAAGGATCATGTGAATGAAGACTGGAGTAATGATGCTGAAAATACAGCTTTGCCATCACAGGAACAAATTACATTTTAAAATACATTCAAATAGAAAACAGATGTTTTGGGTTGTAATAATATTAAAAACATTGATACATCATATAGACCATGTGCATATTAAATATATACTACTGTACATGATTTATTGTATTCTATTGAAATAAAATCAAATTACTGATAAAATATCACAGAAAAAAATCTGACATGATGTTTGAATAGTGATATAAAAACAGAGTTAACATTGGAAAGAACTCGCTCTGGCTGATCTCTCTTCAGCGAAGATCCTGAAACTTTTTCGGTTGGCATAGTGTTGCAACCTCTATTAAGGATGCGTCAGAGCCCTTTTGGACTTCCATGTGAAAACAGATCAGAAAAGTGTAGCTCCGCAGTAAGAGATAAATGACCAACACATTATACCTGCTTGTGTTTCTTGGAATCTCCTCCACTTTTCTTCTCTGCTTTCCTGTTGGCTTCGAAGACTTTTGGCTCAATGCTAAATACGCACTCTGTCCACTTCCCGTAGAGAACATGATGCTTCTTTTTACTGAAATACACCCAAAAAACAATGAGTCATATACTGTATACAAGCATCAAATCCATAAAACTACATTTACAATCCACCTGTAAAAGACATTGATGATGCCTTTAGTGCTACAGACAGAGTCAATGTCCAGTGTGAAGTGAACACTACAGGCAAGGAGCCAGATGTACCCACTGACATTTGATACGAACGACTGCTCACCTCTTGTCCTGGATATATCCCTCAACCCTATGCAGCTCTTTGCCAAACATGCCGCATGGCTTAAAATTCAGCACACACTTGTCCCCAGTGCTAAAATGAACAGAGAGGAGGTTTCCCAATCGAGAATTAGACAACAACCACACTGAGTGAACATTGATCCACAATGCTACATGTGGATCAGTAGCCTATTCGACAACATTATTTAAATGATGGAAAACGGTATAGAGTGAAAATGCAGGCCGGATATTTAGTGTCAGAAAGGAAATAGATGATATACCTGTGGTTGACAATCTCCACTGTCCCGTACTGCTCAATCCACAGTTTACCGAGAATAACATTATGCACACAGCACATAGGGTTTGTCCATGTGTAAGCTTCTCTGTGCCTGAGGAAAAAAAATAATAACTAACTATACGAGCAATATATTTTTTTTAGATAATACTTTATTTTAAGGTGACGTAGTTAACAGTTCACTTCGTGTATGCTGACAGGAGCCATCTTGGAAAACAGTCACGACAAGTCAAACCACGAACGTCGTGCTGAGTGATCTGAACTGTTTGAAGTTCAGCGAACTTCTGAACTGTATGAACGGCGTTCGGGGATCGACTTATCGAGACTATTTTCTAAGATGGCTCCTGTCTGTATAAACTAAGTGAACTGTCTTTATAAAGTATCTTCTTATTAAACGGTCTGTACACTTACAAAGTTCTCAATGCTTTGTTTTGCATGTATGGACCCTCATTATGTTACTGTGTTAGTGTGGGGCTATTTTGAGCCTTGTTAGTGGTATAAACTAGCGATTTCTTTTTACTTAGTAAATGCCCCCAGTACTAGCATTATACGCTCAGACTGATCTCATGAAGTTGCGTGTGTATGACATGCCAATTCGTATTTCCATTTTTGGCGTGCTATCAAGACGCATAATCGCTTTTCAGCGTGTTTATGAACGCCGTTGACTTAACGTTGTTACTGTATATATAAATATATGACTTACCTCAACCCCGTCCCTAAACCTAACCGTCACTGGTGTTAATGGCATTTATGACTGTTCCCCTACCATCCTAGGAAAAAAAAAAGATCGCTCCCCAGATGTAGATCTACATTTTGCTTCGTTTTGCGCGGACATTTGACGGCGTGTACAGACACGCGGAATCACTCGGACGTTAATAGCGTAGACATACACGCGTACACGCGTGAGATAACACGCCACTTGACTCGAAAGTGGCGTGTATGTTTACGCTAAAGTCATGATGTCATGATGATACGCTAAACAGTTTTTAGAGATAAAACTCTTTACATTCGATTATCGTGAAAACAAATCTCAGAGAACGGTTGACTAGGTACCGATGTTTTATTAGACCAAAGGTTCATTTTGGGCCGGAAATCTCCTTTAAAATAAAGTGTATTAAAGCATTTACAACCTTTGTTAACATTAGTTCGTAAAAATACAATTGTTGCATTGTTTGTTCATTATACCTCACACAATGCATTCACTTATGTTAACAGATGACGTTGGATTTAAAAAATGTATTAATGTAGAAATTAACAAATGCTGTAGAAGTGTAGCTCAAGTGTTGTCCTTTAGGTCATCTTAACTAATGAAGAATTTAAAAAAAGACCTCAGCCATAACTTAGACACAAAATCTCTTTTATACACATGCAAAACATGCTGAATAATAAATGGACATTCCAGCGTGTTACTTTTCTAGCAAATAAAGCTACTTCCAAAGCAACTTGCAGTTCCCTGAAGACAGAGAAAGGTTACGTGCCTTGCTCAAGGGTGTGACTGTGCTTGAGTATCTTCTCAGTGACTCTCCAGCTCCAATAAAAAAGTGATCATTTTGTACATGGTGATGTCACAGGAATAAAACTCACTTGGACAGCTCAAGTGTCATGGTGCCTTTAGGCTCTGCCTCCACACTCTTCCCCCAGAATTTCAGTTTAGGATAGATGGAGCCGTGAAACTTGAAGTCCTGATTGAGTGACTCTGCGTAGAAGGCGCTGATTGGTGGATGGTGGCTCACCTGTTCTGAGATCATGCGGTAACCCTCATCCTCCCTGAGCACAGACATGCAAATGATTAGTGCAAGCTAATTTTGTAGAAGATGTATAGCGTTTGCTCTGTAGATTTACCTTGTAAGCTCAAAAGTCTCTCCTAATAAAGGATTAAAAGGTTTTCCAGTTCTATCCCATTGTGAAGCGACTGCAGAAACGGCGAACGCTGCAACAAGCTGACCAATGAGATGCAAAAGGGTTTGCATGAGTCTTCCATGCAAGCACACATGTGAGAGTAAATATTAGAGGAGGTACTAACCTGCATACGCTCAATAGAGTCAGAATGTTTACAAGCTTTATGGATGAGGTATGTATGTTCCATGTACTCCGTAATCCTCTGCAAGAAGCTCAGTGGTTCGTTGAAAACAATAGGCATTGTTATCTTGGACAGCTCCTGCAAAGATAAAGTATTCCTAGATAGAACTGGCTTGGCATTGACAACGACAATACAATCTAAATAAGATGTTTCTATTTCATGCTTTGTTTAAAGGGACATTGTGTAGGAATTTCTCAAAGCTATCCCGACATTAACTTGTGTTTTTTGTAATCTCCGGTCACGTTTCCTTTTACGTTCTATTTTTTGGACTTTTCTGGCGACGAGGATTTGCAATGCAGCCTTTTAAACTTGCCAGGCACTTCTGCTGCTTCAGTCACGTCACGCTAGCTCTGAACGAAAACGCGTTGGCCTAGTACTTTATGTCCCTCTCTACTATTTTAGTTTTTCAAGATGGCGGAACTACATGGGAGCCTCTGTGGACTTACCGCCCCATGCATATAAAGATAAATTCTTCGTTTACGAGGATAAGTCAGATAATTGGCACTGGCAGAGGTATTTGTAGACCATAGAGTGCCGAAGTTACGACGTCATTCTGTAGGCCAAAACGCGGAAGCGAGTTAGCATTTTAGCACTCCCGGTTCCCTCGCTCTAAACTAAAGTCTATGGGATTTTTGAATGGGTTTTTGCTAAATCGCCTGAAATAAGGTGAACAAAGCCTCTAAATATTTTCACGTTTTCATCTATGACATAGAACACAAAGTTATAACCTGCTTGTGTTTTTTTTGTGGTCTGCTTTATATAGGCTTCAAAATGTATACATTTTGGATTAACTTGTAAAGATTATCTTGATAGACAAAACGTGTAACACCGTGTCCTAACTACACGCGACGCGATAAAATTCCAGCGACAGCAAGTGTGTCTGTCCACACTAGACGCGACGCGACTGTGAGATGTCACACATTCAGAACAGCGTGTGAGCCTATGGTGTGAGCAGAGTCTCTCTGTGATGAGAGTACAATAGTATGTTTGCATAGAATTCATTTTGAACGCTATATTACATGCTTTCAAAATCTGAGGTAAATTATCCGTTATCGCTTGTGGCACAGTGACCTATTTTTAACTAAAAATAAATAATGTGTACTCATAACCAGTGTAATTTATTCATTCTGTCAGCCGCGACGTCGCAGAAATAGGAACCGTTTCTAAATTAGAAAGTTCGCGTGTCACCGTCGCGTCTGGTTAGGACAAAAACTCTGATTAACATGGAAAAGATACCTTTTATCGCGTGTCGCGGCGTCAGTTAGGACACGCTGTAAGGGTCACAACTCTTTGATCTCTTTAAACACAGATCTTAATTTTTTGCGATTTTTCCAAAAGTCTATGGGGAAATTGCATAGCTTTTCGATCGAGGGAACCCATGCGCCGCTAGCTTCCGAGTTGTCCTACAAAGTGATGTCATCACTTCGGCACTCTATTGAGGAGATATTTATGAATACAAATATTGATTTTAGATAACAAATTATGTAAAAAGTTACACATAGATAGTCCCTTTAAATTGAGCACTTTTGACCAAGCTGTTATTTGGTCAAAGTAGCTTACAACTCACCATTCCAATGCATTTCTTCAGGAAGCCCCATACACTGAAGTCATTTCTGGAGAACATGGGCGCTGGAAGAGTAGTTCTGAGCACACAGACACACATATTTAATACATTACTCACATTCTGTGTCCTGCCGCTATATTATTTCACATTATTCTGACACCTTACCGCCTCTCCAACACTCCATTCTCAGACGGCACTTTGCCATTCACCCTCTGCTTGATCGCATAGACGCAGGCATCTTTAAAGCTGACTTCACACGAGTCGTCTGATTCCAAACCTGAGATGGAAGGAGAGATTTAGCCATAGGTGACGAGATTATGTGATGTACCTTACTTAACTTAATTCCATACCTGTCTCAGCATCATAGAACTCTTCCTCGCTGTTCATGATGGACAGATGTTGTAGTTGATGTCAATCAGAAGGCATTGTTTCACAGCTTGAATGTGTTCTGTAGATCAAACCAGAGAACAGTAGGTTTGATTATTAAATGGTTTTAAAGACCTACAGATGGACATCATCAGTCCAACTAATAACAATGAATCATTAATGTACTGTAGACTATGCCGTGAACCTGGAACAAACTGGTCACCATCTATTCCCTTATTGAACACACAGAACAAATCCAATCACCTCACTGCAGTCTTTAAACAGCTGTGCTTGGCAAAACCATCTAATGAGAGTGTCCGCCCAAGCTAATCCTTTAATATGGCCAATGGCAGAGAGAGAGAGAGAGAGAGAGAGAGAGAGAGAGAGAGAGAGAGAGAGAGAGAGAGAGAGAATTGCAACTGAATTTACCTCTTTACAGTGTGGCCTTAATCAAAATGGGTCATGAATTGAGAAATACAAATTTTCTTTGACATAAGAGTACAATGTCTATAAAAAATATCCTGTACGTTTTCAGCCCAAAAACAGCTTTTATTGAAACCAAGCTGCTAAAAGTCTGACAAAAGACCGCATCAGCAGAAGAAGATAAATGCCTACTTCTACATCATTGCCTCTTTAGCACCGCCCACCGATTTGCACATGTAGTGGGAGGTGAGAGAGAGAGAGAGTGCACTGGTCTCAGAGACTTTTGCTGATAATTTACTCACCCCCATGTCATCCAAGATGTCCATGTCTTTCTTTCTTCAGTCGAAAAGAAATTAAGGTTTTTAAAGAAAACATTCCAGCATTTTTCTCCATATAATGGACTCCAAATGGTTCCAAGTCCAAAAGACACTTTCAGTGCAAACTGCAAACTGTTCAAAGGGCCGATGAATAATGATCTTATCAAGTGAAATGATCACTCATTAAAAAAAATAACAAAGTTTAAGTTTTATAAGCTCAAATGCTCACCTTGCTCTGTACTGCGATGCACGTTCGTGACTCTTCTGTTCAAACTCGTTCATCAAAATGAACAAATCTTTTTCCGAGTCAATTCGTCCGTTTTGTTCGTTGAATGAACCAAATGACTCGGAAAAAGATTCATTCATTTTGATGAACGAGTTCGAACAGGAGAGTCACAAACGTGCGTCACAGAACAGAGCAAGGGGAGTAAATTATCAGCAAAAGTTTTTTTTTAAAAGTGAACTACTCCTTTAAGGAAGTGTATTTAAATAATTGTATGAATTAGATTTGAAATATATTTAATGAATAAATAAAAAAAGAACAAATTGTGCATCATCCAGGTAGATGCTGCACAATCACATTGATGGTGGTTGAGGAGATTCCCCTTTAAAGCACTTTATAAATGCAATGAATTAAAAGGTGAAACTCTATAAAACAAAGGATTCAAGCTACTCTTCAACAGCCCTGATACAGCCGATGTCCACCAAAATGCAAAGCAGTTTAAAAAACAATTGTCCATATAACGGAGGCGGGCACCATGCAAATTATTTTGAACATGGACAGGCAAAGCAGGAATTTATCAAGTTGACAGCTATCACATATTCAAACACCCATGTGGTAAACTGCCAATAGAGGAAGTCGTTTTGCAACCACACAAATTCAAGGTAGATCAATGGAAATGAATGCAGACTAGAGATGGCAGGGACTGATCACACGCTTTGGATCAGAACAAAGAAAAACCTTTGACTTTTAATGTGAAGGATAGGGTGCAAGGCAGCCGAACTGTAAAACAGACCATTTGTAGAAACCACGAAAAAACATTGAAGATAGCTTTCAAAATTAAGAATCTAAATAAAATTACGAATAAATAGGGGCGGCACGACAGTGGCTTAGTGGTTCAGGCTGTCCACAATTTGGAAGGTTGGTGGTTCAATCCCCGGTTCCACCTGACCAAGTGTTGAGGTGTCCATGAGCAAGATACCTAACCCCAGCTGCTCCTGACAAGCTGGATGGCACCTTACATGGCAAACACCGCCGTCAGTGTTTAAATGTGAAGCAAAATTGGTGGCCATTGGCCATTACACAATAAACAGCCTTCAACACTGCATACCTCACTCACACAGATGTTAACAGTATTACTGAATCATCATATTTCTGCAAGAACTCTCCCTAGATAACATATTGACAGATCACAACCTTTTTATACTTCATTTGAAATATTTCAAAATAATCAAGTAAATAAAATACCTCAGCCCAGTCATACAACTGACTGGAAAATGATAGTGTAACAGATCAATGGTGACTTAAGACAACCGCATAGAACCTACTTGGTTCTCAGAAAAAGCTGTGCAGTTCCTGGTAGTCATACTTGGAGATATCACCAATTGCTATTGCACACGTCATAGATCCCCCAAATAATGCCATTCCTTTTCAGGTTGTACAATTTGCTGTGCAAAAATACCAATACAATGGCCTAGGACTTGAAAATAACTGTATATACGCAAGTTATTGTTCTCATTTATACCAATATTACCAATAGTTTTGGACTTTATATTGACAGATTTGACACATAAAGTTGGCTTACTAAGAGTCGCAGCTTCAGTCTTAACTGACAGAAAGCACGAGTATAGACTACCATTCAAAATAATTTAAAAAAAAAGTCTCTTATGTTCACTGAGGCTGCATTTATTTTATAAACTACTTGTAATAGTGTGTGAAATATTACAATTAAAAATACTGTATATTATTTCCATTTTAGTGAAATTTAAAATGTAAAGGAAACTTATTCTGCAGCCATCACTCCAATTCTAAGTGTCATATGATCTTCCAGAAATCATTTTGGTGGTCAATCTTAAGCAACATAAGCTTGAGGTTGACCACCAAATTGATTTCTGGAAGATCATATGACACTTAAAATTGGAGTGATGGCTGCTAAATAAGTTAAAGCTAGATTTTAAATTTCAGTAAATTATAAATATACAGTATTTTTAATTGTGCTGCTTAACATTTTTGTTGAAACTTTGATACTTTTTTCTTAAGCGCTTCATAATCGAGTCAAAATACTTACCCGAATTTGTGCTGCTGTCAACTAACAAATGGATGTGTCTCATCATCTCTCATTATGAGTGTCACTAAATGCAGTGGAGCAGATTTAACCCATCAAAACCACAGGAAAACAGCTGATCCATATATTACTAAGAGACATTTAGAACGCACTGCTTTCTACAAGATCACATGAACATGGTAACTAAGCACCATGTGATCATAACACAATTCACCCATCCAAATAATAGTCTAGCTAACGTCCAGCCATCCGTGCATGAGGGCAGGCTGACATTCAGGTATTGCACTGTTAGATACACAAATATATCTGATGCTATGAATAACCTGACTCGCTCGGCATCTCCAAACTAGATCTTTCTACTCCGGGCGGAAAGCACGGGGTGTTTGGCTTGAACTGTTTTGACCCGCGTTAGCCGCTAGCAATAACAAACCCGCATATTACTCAACAACCCGTTTGATTTAGTGAAAATCTTAAACAAAGCACAAAATAACACGACGTGTAGCCTCGCTCTTGCTTAGCAGGTTGTTTACTGTGCATATGTCGCGTTACCTTTCAATAACGTAAAGCTGGATAGCTCCTTTCTCCGGCGGGACAGAAAACAAGCGCCCAGTTTGGGAAGAGACTGACAGTGGGGCGGATACATTTCGCCAGGACGGGACATGAGAACAGTCTGGATTGGAGGGTTGAGTAACGGCTTCAAACGCAGAGGGGCGGGGAAATGGTTGATTGACAGAAGAAGTAGCAACGTTAAAACCCTTTCGAAGGGGCGGGGCTATTTGATGTTACATAAGGGGTAGGTAGGCTACTAAAAAGGCAGGGTTATTTATAATCATAATACCGGTAACAATAAATATCAGCGTTGGCTGACTGCTGTCCAGGCAGGGAGAGTTCAAAATGGACATGAAGCTGTTTGAAGCTTTAATGTAGGCTAGCCTACCTGTTTATTAGTGTGATCTACGATCTGTATTAGCCTTATTAATGGAATATGTTCTGTTCTTACTGTTTTTTTCCCTTCTTATTTACGCCCTAAAATTAAAGCGTTAACTAAATAATTCGTAGATTCTAGAGATATCATTTGATTGGACCAGTGATTTAAGTGGACTGTACGCGCCGGTACTAACTCAGTAGCGCCACTTCCAAATATAGCTCCTGAACGTATCGCCACCTCTCCGTGCGCCCAGAACGTGCTTTTAGCGTACCGGTACGCTCATTCGTACATCGACTAAGTTTTGAAGCTTTTCTTCTAAATGTAAATTATGTCGTTGTTTGGGAGCACACTAGCTTATAGATAACAGTAGGCTAAGGCTAACATAAACATAATTTAAACCCCCCAAACTCATTCACAGCTATTCTGATTTCATGGGGATTTTAGTAGTGGGATGGGGATGGACATTCGTTCAGGTAGAGCTAGAGGGTATGGGTTAGTGTTTGGGGCGGGGTCGAATCTGAGAGAGCATGTGTCTGAGCTGAGGCTGCTGTTCTCAGACTGCAGTGACGTGTGTTTCTGTGGCCTGTTCATCCGTTTCATTTACAGCCACTAGATGTCAGCCGATCAGTGTTTTTAGTTTGAGAAGTGTGTGAGCTGTGATAAACTTTTCTTCTTTTGAAACCAATTTTTATATATACATATACTGTATATATATATATATATATATATATACATATATATATATAGTAGCCTATGTGCGTGTGTGAATAGGGCAACAGATTTGGAAATCAACTGTCTCCTCCAGAGTCCGTTTGCAAGCAGCAGAAGGCCATATGCCTAGATATTTAGCTATCAATCAAGCATTAGGCTACATCTTATTAGATTGTATGAGTGAATGATAGGCTAATATAGACACTGTTACCGATATCAGGTATGGGTTAAGCCTATTAGGCCACCATGTAAATAAATCAATAAATAAGAAAATTAATTTCTCCACTTAATTAAGTAGGCTTTTTAACAGATATGCATTGCAGGGGTTAGTTTAGTTTATTAGTTTAGTTAGTTGGGGGTGTCTGCATTGGGAAAAAACTATAATTTTATTTATCCTAGTAAAGCAATGGTTTGGCACTTAGCTGTTCGTCATCATGCAAGCTGAGTTACTGTAACTCTGACTCAGATAGAGTGAGAGGAAGAGAGAGGGGGGGGGGAGGCTCCGTTTTCGGGGCGGAGATTTTGGAGTTGTAAAGGCACATATGGCCACACACAGTAAAGATATTCACCGAACCACTAGACTAACGGCTTTACTCGGGTTTACCTTAACTTTTCTTTTCCTCATCTCACACAAACACTTCAGAGGATTCTGCTGGCGTTATTCATCTCATTATACTGTCTGGAAATATAAACGCGTAGTAATTGTCTTTCTTTCTTCACATAAGCGATGTGAATAAGAGGAGATTTGAACTCCTACAATGACAAAGACCAAAGTTGAGGCCAATCCTGAGTCTAATGCATCTCAGCACGGACGGGACGGGCAGATTAAAGCCTGTGGAGGAGACGCGGTCAGCCACCCGCAGTCAAGACAAATCCACCGGCATCATGTGCAACACATGACGTCAAGACAACCTCAGGCGAACGCAGCTCCCTCACAGAACAAGACTAAGGAGATTCACTCCAAGAAACCAAAGCGTGGATTATCTGTCACGCCAAACATCCATGGTGGGAAAACGGAGATGATGAAACCAGAGTCGAGAAAACGCTCCGATGGCAATCGCAGTAAATCTTCCGGGAGAAGAAAGCTATCGGATGGAAGCATCACGTCTGATGACCTGAGTAAGGACTCTGGCTGTGCTACCGGGAAACTGTCTTCCACGGACAGCAGCTCTGAGATCTCGGACGCATCTGAGGAGCATAAGCAGTCCACTGATGCTCAGTGTGGTGAGGTCTGTCACAGAGGAACCCACGAAGAGATGATGGACGGTTTAGCTGAGCCAATATCAGAACATAGAGAAGATGATGGTCTGACCAATGCCACACTGTCCCCGGGGTTTGGCTTCGGGGAGGGGAGCATCTCTCCTGGAGACCGGTCCTATGTTTCCATGGATAGTCGCTTGAACTTGAGCGCATCTGTGGAATTTCCGGATCTGACTGGAGACTTTGCTGATGGGGTGCATGAGGATCTGCTGAGAGAGATTGACGACTTAAAATCGGAAAATGAATATTTAAAGGTGAGATTTATTGATTGGCTGATAAATTAATTTATTCGGTTGGTAAGAATGGCAAATACTTTTTTTTTTTTGGTCTAAATTAGGGTGAGTTCAAGCAAGATGGCCAATTGCAAAAAACGCATTGTTGCGTTTTTTGTAAGTGTTTAATTATTTGTGTTGCCTGCCTGTTTTGATGGATTTTAGGTATTATGCATCATACATTTATTAGCCAATATGTCATAAACCATGTCACATGATGTGCTAGATCTCAATCAATCTATGAGCTGGCAGTTATGGCAGGTTACAAACCAGGTACAATGTTAAACAAAAAAAAAAACTTTTACATTTTTGAAGCTCATCACATGTTTTAAATGACATAAACCTAATTCTGCAAACTTTTCAAGCAAGGCATTTGTGCTTAAAAATATTTGCCATACACATTTGTGTTCAATTATGAATATACCAAAATCAAAACCCATAGTCCCCCCTAGTTAAAACTGTTGAAGCAAACTATTTCGGAACACATCATGTTTGTTAAAGTGTCTGTTACACATAACAATGTTTTAACAGTCACATTACCAAAGCAAAAGTAAACTGCACGTGAAATGGCTTATACTGTAAGATTTACTTTCTTCTTAGAAGATTACACTTTCACTAATTGGCTTGTGTCATCCCTCATTGTCTCTGACATGCAATAGAAGGACGGGTTCACAGAGAGAACAAGACCAGCTTTACTCTGATTAAGTTCAAGGTGTCTCAGTAGAAATCAAGAAGTCAACAGAATGTCCATCAATGCATCCCTGAGAAGGACAGTGCATCTTGGCATGCACCCGGTTCTGTGGGTTAATGTGCACAACATGCTGGCACTTGACATGGAAGACCAATGCTGGCTTGGGCGAATTGATGGAGGCCAAAATTAACAGTGATATAAGAAACACTTTGCTTCGTGTAGACTGAAGTAGAATGCATATATATATTTTCTCATGTTTTCCAATTGAAACTTCCAAAAAGTTTAATTTCAAAACATTTATGCTACACCATTTTTGGCTGTCTTTTCAGGATGAAATGGAGGAGCTCCGCTCAGAGATTCTGGAGATGAGAGACATGTACATGGAGGACGATGTTTACCAGCTGCAGGAACTCCGACAGCAGTTGGAACAGGCCAATAAGGCCTGTCGCATCTTGCAGTATCGACTCAGGAAAGCTGAGAGACGCAGCCTGCGTGTAGCCCAGACGGGACAGGTGGACGGCGAGCTTATCAAAACGCTCGAGTATGATATTAGGGTGAGGAAGTGCTGCTTACAGTCATTATTTGCTGATGTTGAGTGTGTTTGTGTGAGAAAGTACTTGTATGAGACATTCAGGGTGTAATCAAATAAACATTTCCCTCATGATTTGGGTGCAATTAAGCTACAGTGGTGTATGTGTGTACGGGAAACCCACTGTTGGGTTTTGGATGCAGTCCATGGCATTCATCGGGACAGGATGTTTATCAAAATTGCTTAACACTGCTTAGTGCCAATTAAATGTTTAATAGTAAGTCACTATATGAGTCAAAACTCTGTTTTTATGAATTAGCATGCACTCAGATGGATTGTGTAATCTTTCCATTGTGGTTTGTTACCGAATTGTATCAGTGAGAGAATGCCGCTTTGTTTTATAGTTTGAAATGTGTAGTGAGTGGTTTTATTTTTGGAGTTGGTCCAACTGGTAAAACGAGTAGAAAAGCCCTCGGTTTTTGGTTTGGCAGACAATCGGGAATTTGTGGTGGGCCACTCACAGCATAAGCATTTTTTATTTTGAACTTCTCAGCCAATCAGAGCTTTGTGAAGGACCGTTACAAATTAAAAAGCAATCTACACAACAGGACGACCCATATGAAATGGCTGTTTTCTTTTGAAATCTGCCTCCTCTAGACTATTCCTCAGGTTTCTTACAGGCCCATTGTTTGCACTGAATTAAGAGTGAAAATATTTTCGTAGAAACACAATGTGAAGTATTACTCCAGAATCAAGGTTGAATGAAAGAGTGTGTATGGTATATGAGTCAAGTATCTGAGAGGGGAAGTGCAAGCACAGCTGCTGGTGTGTGTGTCCATGACCAGTCTATTTTAAAGGCATGTGAGAGAAATAGATACCCTCCTTTCTCAAACTGGTCCAATGTGTGTGTGCCCATCGCTGCTCAGCGTCCTCACCAGCACTCCGTCAAGTTATTCAGTCTTAAACAGCCCCCACGGGAGTGTCCTGCAACCTGATATCTCAGCATCCTTTTCAGTGTCTGCTCTACTCCACGTTCTCATCGTGATCGTACTTTTTTCACAGAGAAATCCGAGATTGTGGAGTTTCTCCTTGAATTCAACGGTGACAATAATCGGCCTGTGCTATATAAAAAGAAAAGCAGAGTCATGCGCTGATGCCATAGCCTAATCACATGCGCTCTAACAGTTTTCCCTTGGCATTATTAGCATTTGTTCATCTTCAGGATCATCGTAGGAGAGTCGACCCACATTGAATCCCAAACA